CACATCCGTTCTTAAGACGGGACTGCGGCTGCATGTTCACACGTCCTTCTCCCCTGTCGCGCGTAGAGTGTGACTGGGCGTCAGTTGCACTCAGCGCCACAACGTGACCCGCGCCACAACTGGATGGCAAATGGGATACTGGGACGCAGGCAGGGCCGCGCCAGAAGCTTAACCAAACCACACACGTCCGCCTTGGTTGGCAAGAAGGGGCCTGCCACACAACCCCTGGACGAGAAGGAGCGGCCCGGTGGCTGGGTCCGCTTTTGAGCCAAAGTGGCTGCGAACCGCGGGCTCATTTTCGTCAAGCGCGCAAGTCCTACTTACCTGACGCCCTGGCATGCGTGTCTGCCACAAGGGATGGAACACGTGTGTCTCGGCTTGTTTCCCCCCAAAAAAAAAGAAAAAGAAAAAAAAAGAACAAGTGATGGATTCCCTGTATTCTGGGACACCCCCATATCAATCAACGAGAGGTTTGTTAATCCCCGGTCAAGATTGGGTCGAGATTTTAACTGGGGGCCAGGGGGTGGACAGGGCGCTTGCAATCTTTTGAGGGTGTTCTCTATTAGTCATAGGCTGCGTTGGCTGGGTGATGTGCCCACTTGGTTTCCCAGAACTCTGACTATGAACACCACATCAGCAGCAACCAAAACCTGAAGGTTTCTATAGGCTTTACGCTGAAATGGCCCCTTGGGGGCCCGGGTTTTCTGGCGCAGGGGCAGTCAGGATCTCGATGGTCGCGGTGATCTCCCAGTCCCTCGCATCCGCTGCAGCCACGTTCGCCAGGAAGGAGGCCCTCAATCGGCGAATCGGCGAGTCGGTGGCCTGCTTCTTGTGTTTCCATTTCTGTGCTGAAAGGCTCTAGGCATTCCATGTGGGCTCGTCTTCTTTTAGACCCCCGAAAAAAGTCAAGAGGAAACTGGTTACCCACTATAGAGGCAACTGGGATCCACTGCTCTTCGTGGGTCTGTTGTGTTCGTCTTCCTGAGATGAAAACAAACACATGTCTTGAATTATACAGTGGGGTGTTCTGGTTTGACTTCTTTGTTGTCGTGTGTTGTTTCAGGTTTCCTCTGATTGGTGGTTGGCATTGGTGGTTTGGCTAAGAATCCCACCACCACCAATCAAAACCACCAAATCAGGGTAACTATTTGTTGGATTGGTCCGAAGATGAAAAACAGGCAGAAATGTTGTATTCTATAGATGCCCATTACGGTTTGGTTTCTTTGTTCTGTTGCAGTTATTGGACATAAAAAGAACGGAAACAAACCGGGTTCTTATAGTGGGTTGTTAGATGTGTTTTGGGTCAATGTCCTGTAGCACATGTCCCACCACGACTTATGTGATGTTTATGCTTGGTTTGACATCTCGGTTTGTTTGTTGTTTTGTGTTCCCCCCTTCCCCCACGTCTGTCTGTCTGGAGGGGAGTTCCCAATGGAGGCAGTCAAAAGTCATGATATCGCCCGGCCCAACGTAACCAATTGTCTTAAACCCCTTTCCATCATCGCCTTGGACAGGAAACAGGGCACTACCGGAGGTCTGGGGAAAACAAGCCACAAATCAGGAGAACGTAGGAAGAGCGCTTCTGCACATTCCCAGCAGCTCCAAGTGTATACCCTCTAAGAACGGCTAAGACTTGAAGGAGTGCCTTGGTATCTCCAAGGCTTCCAAGGGACCTTTTTGGGAGCGGTGCCTTTGGGTTTTTGCTGCGTCAACACATCAATTTCATGCCAAGCCTCGATGCCTGAAAGCAAAGGGCAATCCCTCAAAAGGTGGGCCCTACTAGACCCCCCCAAAAAAAAAACAAACGGCTGATTGAGGCCGAATCGAGATTGGCTGTAGGCGCACCAACTCCAAAGCGGGACCTGTGGAGAGGGAGGTTTATCCCTTACCTTACTAACCCCTTAAGGCCTTAAGGGCTTGTCTTTGGCTTCTCCTGGGCTTATCCAGGGATGGCTCCCCCTTGTCCTTCCCTATATTTCAAGACTATACTCGGAATTCCGGAGAACGCAGCCACGGTGCACAAAGATCAGGCAGAAGATGATGTAGCTCACACCTCAGGCATAGGCTTCCCTCTCTGGGACCAACTGGTCCGTCAGTTTACTGTCTCCATATTCCGCGTCAAAAAAGACAGTGGATGGCATTATATGCTTCAGGCATCTATATCCATCTTCCGCAGACAACGCCACAAAACATTCCCAACAAACTCAACTATGTCTTGCGCAACTCCAAATGTGCAGCTTGGTTTCCAGACCATATCCAACTAACCTTGCAAAATTGGATTGTCTCCACATGGGCTGACCCTCATATTGCGTTGAAACAACCTCCCGAAGAAAAACAAAACCTCCAAAAAGAGTATAGGCAAAAAGTTCTACATGGGGGGTTTCTCAAAGTAGCGGATCCCTTGAATAATTGAAAAAAAGAAACCACCTGGCGGAAACCACCTGGCGGAATTGCTCCCCAACACGCAGCCGCAAGCAGCTGAGGTGCAGAGGAACCAGAGGAGCTTGTCCTGGCCGTCGGGCGATGTGGCCATGGGTCAAAGGCCCGGTTAGCGCCCAGTGAACATCCGATTCAATCCAACCACTACAATAGGTTCTAAAATGGGTGGTGAATTCACCAATCCCCCAAAATGGCACCATTGGTTTTGACCCACCGCCATTTGCTTTGCTCTCAGCTCTCTCTAACTGGTGGTTTGGATGATTGGTAGTTTGAGGATTTGAACCCCAGCTCCTGTAGAGGGTTAAATCATTTTAAATGGGAAGCCTTCCCTTACCCACCAAAACACCAACCCAATCACCAAGTAGGGCTAGGGTGACAACGTCAAAACACATAGTTTAGATGGTTTTTGTTGGGCCCAAAATACTAAAAATATGTGATCTTTGTTTAGACTTGTTTAGATGCTCTTTCATATCTTGTCTACAGGGGAAGCCCTGTTTACCCTGCCCCCACTCCACCTGCACCAGTCAGGAAACCGCTGCAAATGCGCCCCTTCAGACTAACATGGAACAAACCATCCAGCATGTTTCGCGGAATCGCCTTTTGGGCGACCCGATTTTGGTGTTCCATGCGACTTTGCAGGGGGGCACAGCTTGGTTCGAAAAGAGGGTCGTCAACTGGAAACTCATACGCTTGGCTTCTTTAGATAAGTCCACCAAGCTTGGTGTGAGGGCAATATGAACACATTCATTCTGGGCGCATAGCTGCTTTTCTTCACCAGACCTGAAATAAAAGGAGGAACGACGTCGCAACACCTTCGTGGTGCCGCTACAATTTGCCCAACTGATTAAACCAAATCCTGCTTGACTAAGCTTTGGGCATGTTCACTTTCGGAGGAGATCTAATCACCTTGCGGGGGTCCGAAACTCCTCCTTTTCTTCCGCCATTCTGGTTGATCTGGCAACATTATTGTGACCAGAAGATAAACCCGAACGTGGAATAAAGCCAACACGTCTCCATTTCTTTCCAGCGACTTACCTGTGCTTGGCTAAATATGAGGGCTCAACAATATGAGCGACTTACCTGTGCTGACACAGGGACCGTAGTGACCCTTAAGAAATTGAATTGACCAAAGTGGAGCGAGCGCCACGGCCTTTCTCTTGCTAGTCGGTAGGGAATGACAACTAGTCCAGGTGTTCAGGTGTTGGGAATGACCCGGTTTTCGGGATTCCCGCAAACGCCAAAAAACCTCGGGCATGGCATTTTTAGGGCCCTTCGGGCCCTTCCAATTCTCATTCCCTGCTGATCGAACTGGCAAGTTTTGAATCCTCGGATGCCCAGTGGCCATGGGAACAAAAGGGCATCCTTTCGTGGTTGGTCGACCTTAAAGGAATCGGACTCCCCCAAAAAACATGCCAAACATGAAAAAAGGAAGCAACCCACTGGGCAACTGGGCTGCGCAGTCCTTTCGGCGCCACTTCTTGAGCTGTCTCTCTTCGTCCTCGCAGTCCACGAACTCCCGCTGGTGCAGCTTCGAGAGCCTCGAACATCCGATGTCCGCGGCCGGGGGACCCACCAAAACGAAGATATCTCAAGGAGCCCAGTGCCTTTGTCCTTTGCCCAGCCAGCTGAGTATTCTGCAACACAAATCTTATGTTTGGATGCTGATTTTGAAAAGGAAACCAAAAGTGTCTAGTGGTTCCCCGCTGTACCATGGACAGCCCAGGCCGTAAAAACCAGTACCATGAGCAAAATAGACTCATTTCACTTGTCCAACGTACGGTCCCCCAGCTTTCCGCCCTTAAACACCCCACCCCCCCCCCCAAAAAAAAAAGACACAACACGTCCAGTTTTGGTCCCTTGTCTTCTCCCAGTTTTTTTTTCAAGGTGGGGTGCATGTTTTTTCGGGCTTTCCCTCGATTGCCCAAGGGCATGCGGAAAAAAAAAAGAAGAAAAAAAAGGGGAAAAAACAACGGGCTTCCCCGTCCCGTGACTCTTCGGAGAATTTCGGTGTCGCCGAAATTTTGGGGATACAGTACTCATCCAATTTTAGCTTTCTTGTGGCTTCCTCGCAAAAACCAGCAAAAGCCACACGATCCGTTTGATTTCCAGTTGTTTGGTTCTTCCCCTATATTGGTCGTCTCATCTTTTGGATGCCAGCCTGCTGGTCACGAGGGCCATGAAGCCTACGTACTCAACACCCCCTTCCCCCTGCACCCCACAAGCGAGGGGCAGGATCTCGGGGATGGATGCCAAGCACACGGTGGCCAAAGCCACTGCGATGCACTTCCCCAGGGAGTCCCACATGTCCAGGTCCTGTCGGCCTGCCAAACAGACGGACCCGCGGCATGCGGCTGAGGATCGACCCTTTGGGAGGTTCCCCTTGGTGTGGTCCCGCCGGGGAAGCTCGTTTTTCTGGGTTGGGTGACGCACAGGAACAAATAATAGCAAATTGCGAAAGGGTTTGAAACAGAGTTTCGGGAAGGATAAAACAGGCCCTAACCCACCAACAAGAAGAGACCACCTTATCCCCCCGGTCCCAAGGGCAAAGCGGTTGCCCTCGGCCGGCACAAACACGAACCAAAAGGGGTGCCAGTTGTAACAAGAAAAGAGACCAAGCAGCAGCGCAGCAGAGCGCAAGGCAAGCAAGCAAACCAGCAGCAAGCAGCACCAAGCGAGCAAAGCGAGCAAGCGTGCAGAAGCAAACCAAAGCGAAACCTCCCAACTCAACACCCGACCCACCTCCACGAAGACCCGGACCACGGCCTGCCGGCCCCGCGCACCTTTTGCGCGGAGACGGTGGCCAGTGCCGCCGCGAGCACGTGACGAAATGGCGAGTGAGAACTGCCGGAGATAAAACTTGAGCCAAACGGCGCATTGGCCGTGGCATGGAAACATGCTATGATAAAACTACATGCCCCCAAAAACACCCCCCTCGACTGTACAAAGAGATGGAGTGAATTTGGAAAGGCGCATTGGCCATGTCGAAGTTGAAATGCAATAAACAAGAACAACAAAGCCGATTAGGCTACCAGGGTTCGCGACCCCATACCCGGGCACTCATTGGTGCCCGGATCCCGCCACCACCCCGAATTACGGGTATGGGGCGGATTCGCGCCGGTAGCCAAATCAAACAAGAGAAAGCAAAAAGAAACAGAAACAAAGATTCAACTCCAGAATGGCAGGCATGAAATAAAATTACATTTGCAATGCAACCACAACGAACCGCAAGGTTCAAGTGGATTTAGTTCCTGAATTCATGATTTAGGCGCATTGGCCTACTGGTTGAAACATGGTGCTTCGACCACAAGACCTTGGTCTTTAAAGTAGCACCGTCTAGGCGCGCGATCACACAAAGACCTTCAGTAGGAACACCACCAGCTGCAATCAGCGGTTCAGGTCCGAGTAGGACTTCACCGGCAGCGGTGCAGCGCATCCGTGATCCTCACCGCAGCACCTTGATGAGTTCCATCTCCAGCAGCAGCAGCGGTGCTGGACGATGCTGACAACCAGCGGCCGTAGACACCGGCGAGGGTAACTGCCTTGCTGCGGCGACGCACACCTGACAGGTAATCGCCGCCAGCGCGAATAGCGCACAGCTGCGCATGCAGTTGAATTCTGGAATGGCGAATAGCCCAAACATAGAAATACTACAGGGAGCATTGTCCATTATGTGAATTCCGGAATGAAAGCACGCGCGCGTTGGCGCCGCTACGCAAAAGATGCAGACGGACACCAGGTATTACCGATGTCGTCCGCCGCCGTGCCGTCCCCTCCCCTTGTTGACGTTCCAGTCCCCAGGAGGAGGAGGCACGGTCTCGGCCAACTCATCATCCGCACCCCAGGTAGGGGTATGCGGCGAGTTCGGATTCTCGAACTCGCGTGGATCACCCTGCATGTGCGGCTGCCAACCCTGCTGCATTGTGCCAGGCCACATTTGCGGCATCATGCCAGCCATTGGCTGTTGCATGTACCCTCCCATTGGGAAAGCGGGGTACATCGGACTTGGGAACGGGAAAGGGGCTGCCTGAGCACCCTTGTATCCCGACCCGCGAGCATCAGGCTGATACCCGCCAGTGGGAGTTCTCGATCTGGCGGATCCGCCACGACCGAACTGCCCTTGTTGGTAGCCGTATTGGCCACCCTTGCCTTTGTACTGATCACCTTTGTGACCCTTTCCTGGGAACTGGTCACCCTTGTGACCTCCGCCCTTGGGCCAGGATTGTGCAGGGGCTTTGCCCTTTTGCTGATCACCCTTTGACCTGGATTCAGGTCGCGGGGTAGCAGACCGTTGGTCTCCCCTAGGAGTGGCTGCCCGCCTGTGGTGCTTCCCAACCGGCGGGTCAGCAAAGACAATGGCGCATTGGCCGTCGCGCCGCGAAGCGGGGACCATGTCAACCTTATTGTCTTCGACATAAATGTATGCCTCAGCATACTCAATTGGGGCCGTGATGGATCCACCACTTGCCCGCAAAGAGTCGATATTCCAATCAAGAACAGTGGAAGCGTCGAAACTCGGATCTTCAGTATTGAAGTCCGTGAGGCGTCGCTCAGCCTGTACCAACGACATTATGATGTCCGCGCGTGAGGCGCCTAGGCCATACAGCGGAACCAAATACCCGTCCTCAATCCCGATGCGGTAGGCATCAAAGATATGCACAGAGAGGTAAAGGGCAAATGCTGAATTTAGACTGCCCTTTCTCGTCATATGACGACCCCATTGCGCCGCCTGTTGCGGGTGCTCGATTAAATATGCCATGACAGACATATTGTCGGGAATCGAGACGCCAGTGTTGCTCTCCTCGATGAGCAGCTGCTTCGCTACCCACCGCTCGAGAGCCTCATCACTCGCCCGCACACAAGCGTGAGTGTCCTTTGAGGTGACCTTTGCAACCTCCTGAAACGCAACTTGCACAATATCCGCATTGGGAATGTGCACAAGATGCGGCGCGCAGCGCAAACCGGTGATCATGCAGCTGACCACCTCGCGAATCGGGTTTACCGATGCCATGAGAGGGGCCCACGCGTCGGTCTCCCCTTCATGCCAGCTGCTGGGGCGGACTGCTTTGAGTTCGCTCAGCCAGATTGGCTGTCCATGCTTAACCAGAGCGCGGACGGTGCCTGGCACCCATTCACGATAGAAAATCGGCAGATGGCAACCATTGCATAGAATGGTGCCATACATGTTCAAATGCGCGCACCGAGGGCACCAGTAGTCATGCATGGGAGCATTGTCGCATGAAAATGACACCCCTCTTCGCGGTCCCTGAACATTCAACTCACGGACCGCCCAGGGGCGGATGTATATTACATCCCCTTCCTGATGCAGATAGCATGCGCGCCAGAATGGCGCATGTATCTCTTCCCGCACGGCGATCAAACCGCGTCGGGTTTTGTAGATGCCGGCGGCTTCCTCGATGGCCATCCACTTTAGGTCAACGGCCACAACGACATGGCGCTTGTCCATGTACTTGACGCGGTCGTCAACATAAAATTCGCCCTCATTATTGGGGCTGGGCAACTTGAGGAAAGGCACCTTTGCGCCCTCCATCCCAATCATGATCTCCCCCCTGCAGACCTGCTCAGGTCGCATGGGGAAAACTGTGATGGCGAATTTGCCAGGCCTCCGGATGCACCTCGTTTTGAGGGCGGACCGATACTCGGCCATCGTCAGCAGCACGTATCCCGTATAAGGGACTTCTGCTGCTCCCATCGGCCTAAGCAAAGGCCCTATAGGCGTACGGTCACGCAGTGCCCAACGCTTGAAAACTTTGAACGGCACGTCCCTCCCGATTAGGGTGGACCGCGCAAAAAGCACCTCATTCGGGCGCACACTCGTGCCATCTGTCCTCCAGACTGTCCGTATTAGGAGCTCGACTGGAGGGTACGATGGGCTTTCCTTTGCAAGAGCACCCGCCCAGGTCGCTACCTCGACACTCGTGCACTTGTGGATCCCGTATAGGGCCTCAAGTAGCGTTGAGATCAGAGTCATTGACATCCAACCTCCCAGAATGTCTGGAACCGTCCCAAACAAGAAGGGAGGCTGCTCACCGGGCTTCACGTTTAACCGCGTAGGGTCAGTGTTGCCCGACAAAACTTCTAGCAGCATTTGCGATTCCCTGGAGCTTCGTCCAACAAACGCCGACACATCCCTAATTTCGGGGAAAAAATGGAAGATGTCATTTCCGGCAGGACAGGCGATTCTGCCTGCTATCCCGCCCTGTGCATCAATCACAACCTCTTCACCCTCGTATGTGAGGTTGTAGGTGCTCGTAATCGGGCACACACCGGGCTTAGCCATCAGTGCCTCTTCCAACGACGCACCTGTTGGGAGGACGCCCTGTACGTGCGACTTGGTACCTATGGGACCAGTACTCGCAGACATAAGCCGATAATTTTCGGCACGAAAGAATGGAAAAAGGTTCTTCATCCTTTCAATTTCTTCTTCAGTGGTGCGCCACGCCTTTGCCTCATAGTAAGGCGGCTCCTGCTTTGAGGGCACTAGGTCGCGGTCACCCATTGATGAGAATTTGTCCACGTATGGACCCATTCCATCATCGTCTACATAACTCTCGTGATCTTCATCCGAGACGTACTCCTTGGGCGGCTCGCCCAGAGCGTCCAGATCGACCTTACCAAGGTCGACCAACGCCGGAGAATCCAGGACTCTCTGGATCCTCATGAGCTCGTTCCTAAACTGCTCAAAGCCTCCGGCCTTGTCAATCACGGAGGTCGGCATGGCGCCCTCCCATGATTCTGGAAACATGCACACGTTCGTAGGGGAAAACTCGTCATCGGAAATATCCCGATCACGCTCCCGTACGTCGCTGATTAGTGTCACATCCAACGAGCCGCTTAGGGCCTCGGGACGCGACGCTTTCGCCGGATGCGGCTTTGCGCTCTTTGACGCTACAGCAGCCTCATTGGCCGCTTTGTCCTTCTTCTCGTCACCCTTATTCCCCTCCTTGTCCACATCCATTTCGGACGGCTGTGCGCTCCCCCTTGCTCCGCCCATTGGCGGTTCAGAGGGTTGAACAGGGGATTCCTTGGTACGGGCTTTGCCGTAATAATGCCCTGGGATCTGCACGTTCCCAGTGGAGCCACCGCCAGCCTCTCGCGGACGCTTGGCGGTGTGTGCCGACCCAGTATGGACAGCAGGCGCCGATCGCCTAGGAAGGCCCTTACTGGCCGACAGAGATGGAGGAGGTGGCTTCATTTTGGGAGCCGGCTCCGCCTTGGGCTCCGACTCCGGTTCAATTACGCAGGACTTGAGGTCGAAACTTTCAGACCTCAAAAGGCCCGCGCAATAGGAACGGAAAACGTC